TAGACAATTACCTAATATCATGTTGATTACACATTTTACATATTCAGAGAAAAATGCTGGGCTCAACCCCCAGGACTCTTTGTAATAAAAATCAGTTCTATTCCATCCAACTACTCTCCATTTTTCAGAGTATTTACACAACATACAGCATGAGCAAAAATCAGGTGTCAAACAAAGATTTGCAGTCATAAGACCTGGGTTGAAATCCCCACTCTGATACTTAATATCTGTGTGACCTTGGGTGAGTCTCTCCACCTCTGTAGGGCATAATTTCCCAATCTTTAAAATGAGGGGGAAGGATTAGATCATCACTATTTCCTTCCAATCATAAATTCTATGAAACAGAAGAGTACTATACTCATAGTACTTTTTTCACAAAAAAAGATTTTAAAATCTCCATTTATTATATATGTTTTCAAAAATGTCAGATGAGTTGTTAAAATAGAAAATTAAGAATTAATTGAAGAAATAATCCCGTGACTTGAGATGAATTTCCATAGCCTTTCTCATCTCTGATTCTGGCTATTAAATACTGCAGAGAATTTAGTCCCCAGCTATTCCAGTCACCAGGTATGCAGAGTAAATATGCAGGGTAAAAAATATGCAGAGTAAAAAAATCGTTACTTGAATGAATAAGCCATTTTAAAAAGGATTAGGGAAAAAAGAACATGTAAATAAGAAACCATCACCAATGGTCCTCTGGGTACTTTGCCTATAACCCATCTGCATGATAGGAAAGGCAAATACCCTAAGTAATCAACCTATATTAGCTGTTACATATTTATAGTACTTCATGGTATTTAATTCCCTGTAGCCAGTATTCAGGGAGGGAGGGAGAAAGAGAAAGGGGGAGAGGGAGAAGGTGAGAGAGAGAGAGAGAGAGAGAGAGAGATAGGAGGAAAGAGAGTTCTTCCTTAGATTTAAACCTATATTTCTTATGCCAAGATATATAGCTACTTCCTCTCACTGTCTTAATGGGAAGAATAAAAAGAATATGAGAATCTTTCATAAAGATGCCCCATGATTAGGAAATCTCCCTTTGGTAACAAGGTAGAATAGAGCAAAGTTTGGTGCTAGTAAAGAGGCAAGCTAATGGATAGGATTCTGATATCTTAAAAGATTTCTTTCAGTACTTTACTTGCATGCAAAAGGAAAATGTTCTATTACTTCATGATTATTAGGCCTGTAATTATAATCAGGGCCATGTCTAATGATATTTGAAGGGACCAAGCACACAAAGGGGCCCTAAATATCTTCCATGAATGGAGGCTATAAAATTTTTTATTATTGTTTTTGCTGCTTTTGCAAATATAATTCAGAGGGCTTTCCAATGGAGGCCATCCAACCCAAATCAGAATGTCGGCTCCTAGAGGACAAAGAAGGTGCTCACACTACTGTAAGAGCAAACACATAAGTTAAGAAAACATTAATGAATCCTGCCTGAGATACTCACCAGCTGTGTGACCTTGGGCAAATCACATAAACTATTTGAACCTCCCTTTCCTCTTGGAATAAGTGGGGGTAATTGCACATTTTAAATGAGGATAAATATAGCATTTATTATACAATGTTAATGTGAAGGCAAGATGAGTTAAAATAGGTAAGGTTCTTTGCAAACCTTAAGCCTACATAAATGTGAGTAATGATGAAGATAATAGAGGAAGAGTGAAAAAAAAAAAAAGAAAACCCTAGTTCATCTATGATCCCTCACTTTAATAAAAAGGAAATTATATATTGACAACAGTGAGACAAAGACAACTAAAGAAAAACAAAGAATAAAAAAAATACACACACACATACCCATTCAGAAACAAAAAAAGATGAACATCAGAGAGGAAAAACAAAAACCTTTTTTTCAGTCCATACTCTTCACCAGATCAAGTAAAAGCCTAAAACTTCTCTTGGCAGGCTCCATGGGCTGCCCAGTTGAGCAACCTTGGGGCCATCTCCTCTTCCTCTGCTCTTCTGGTAAAGCCTATGGATCCTTTTTCAGAACAATATTTTAAAATAATTGAAGAATATGCTAAATTTCAGTTAGATGTCCATAAAAATATAATTTTCCCCCATCCAACGTCATGGAACCCCTAAAATCTATCCAAATAAGAACACCTATAATAGACAGAGACAAGGAGACCAAAGAAAACTCAGAACTTGACACAGATTCATGCTACTTTATTCAGAGTAAGCCCAGATTCACTCATCATTTTCTCTGCAATTTTCCACAATAATCATGCCACTCAGACCATCACAATAATAGCTAGCAGAGGGAAGAACCACTTAGCTACTACAGCTTGAATTAGAAAGAATCATAGCCAATTACAGGACTAAATCTAGTTATCTGCACAGCTACCAAAGAACTGGAGCACACTGTTCAGAGAAATACCTGCTGCTGATTTTCATGAATTTCAATGTACTTAAAACTATTAATGTCTTGTTTTATTTTTTTAAGAACTAAATCTAGCATTGGGCGAGTCAGGGGTGGGAACCCTCCAAAACTGTTCATAGAGGTGGTGATATCCGTGATCGTGAAGTAGCAGTTTCCACAGTGTTCAAATATATGTTAAAATGGAAACTCTGAGGGGGAAAAATTCATCATGAAAAGCAAAGGATCAGGAGATGGCTCCAAGGCTGCTCATCTGTACAGTCTGTGGAGCCTGCCAAGAGAAGCTTTAATCTTTTCCCTGATCTGAGATGACAGCTAGAGTAATTTTTAAATGACTGCATCTTCCTGATGATTATTCTGCCACAAACCCATCATAGTCAAGGACAGGCCCAGAGAAAAGGATACATTTCCAAATTGTGAATGTAAGGCTGGGGGCCACTAAATTTACCAGGCAAATGTGGGGAGAGAGCTGGATGGGGAGGATGAAAGCACTACGGAGACCTTGCTAAGCAGTTCCAAGAGTAAGCCAGTCACCTAGCATTTATGAAGCACCTACTATATGCCAGGCATGGTGCTTAGTGCTAGGGATACCAAAAAAAGAGCAAAAAAAACCCCAACATGCTCTCTGCTCTTAAGGATCTCACAAACTAACAAGGGAGACAACATATAAACAATGATGCCCATGCAAGATAAGTAGAGGATGTTGTCGCAGAGGTTCCCAAAGTGGGCAATACTGCCTCCTAAGGGGCACTGAAATGATGAGGGGGCAGTAGTGGCCTCTGGTGCAATTGCAGGTGTTGAATAAAAATAAGGGTGCAGTGGAAGCACAAGGAAAGAAGAGAAGAAAAATTTTGAAAAACCATTCGTACATGTTCCATCTGTTGTATAACAGACTTAAAGTTAAAGTGATTACATTATTTTCCAAATAAATACACAAAATGCAAGGTATAACCAGTCAGTGGTCAAGTCCACCAACGGGTCTTAACAAGCAAGTGTTGGCAGGCGAGTGTGTTCACACATTGGGAAGTCAAGCAAGAATCGGCAGGAATATGTGTATGTAACGACTTATTTACAATACTTTATGGCTACATGATACAATATTGCATAATCAAAATTTCAATGCAGGAAAAAACACAAATTTACAATAAGTTGTTAAATTTAAAATGCATCAATTTTTAAAAAAAAAAATTTCTATTTTCTTGAAATGACACAAATTAAAAAAAAACTTAAAGGATTAAAAGAAAGATTTCCAGAGGGGTGCTGAGTAAGTTTTTTTTTAAAAGAGGACAGTAGGCCAACTAAGTTTGGGAACCTTTGATGTAAGAATAAATTTAAGGTAATCTCATTTGGAAAGCACTAAAATTAAGGAGGACTGAAAAAAGCTTCTTGAAGGTGAGCTTTTAGTTGAGTCTGGAAGGAAGTCAGGGAAGCAAGGAGCCAGGAGTCAGGGGATGAGGAAGGAGAGTGTTCCAGGCATGAGGAACAGTCAGTGAAAATGTTCTGAATCCAGAAATGGAACGGCTAATGCCAGGAACAGCCCGAAGACAGTCTAACAACTTCAAGCAACAAGAAAATGTAAGATGATTACATTCTAGGTGAGCGCCCTGGCTGCACAGCTGCAATGGATACTTAAAGGACCCTGAATGACACTTTTTAGAGTAAGATCCAGGGTCAGAAAAAGTAAACCAATTGAAAATGTACCACAGGAATAATATTTGGCATCCAGAGCTATAAACTTCATTCTTTCCCTTGAAGGAGACAAGAAAAACAATAGTTGAGATGGTATGTTGGGTGCATTTTCATGAGTACTTGAAGCAGAATGGACCACAGCTGGAATACTCTCCTGCTGTCCTCTCCTCACACTTACCTTTTAGAATATCTGACTTCTTTCAGGACTTAGTTCAAATACCACCTTCTGCAAGAAGTCTTTCCCAGGTGCCCCCGCTGCTACTATTTTCAACTCTAAGGTAACCTTCCACCTCTCATATATATACATGTATCCAGTATGTATTTTTATAAGTACATGTTTTTTTTTCCCCTCATTAAATGTAAACTCCCTGAAGGCAGATCCTGTTTTACTTATGCCCTTGTATGCCCAGTGCTAACTACAGTGCCTGGCATACAGTACATAAGCACTTATTAAAATACTTATTGATTGATCAATGTTGTGAGGCGACAGAACACTGAAGGAGACTCAGGAGATCTGGATTCTTCCACTTGTATGACCTTGGGCAAGTCGTTTCACCTAAGTTGGCTTCAAGTTTCCTCACCTATAAAATGGGGCTGACAAAGTTTTGGTAAGCTTATAGATATTTCAGCTCTAAAACTCTAGGCTAATATATAGATTTCACTTCTACACTTCTGTCTGACAGGGTCCCTCTATCAAGAGGGAGATCACCAACAAAAGAAATAAAGCGGCTTCCAAATGAGTCAGAGAGATATTAAGTAATTTACTCAACATTAGGCACAAAGTAAGTGACTGTCAGAGCCAGGACTAAAATTCAGAATTTCTCAGCAAGTCTTTGCTTGTAGGCAAGCCATATCCGTTACTAAGCTGAAAAGTAACTAAGTGCTCTCAATGTCCTGGAGCTTACGGAAATAAAGAAATCACACTTACCTTTAACGATTTGCTTGGCACAAGCATTGTAAACCTGTTCTTGGCTTGTGTTGGGTGGTAGTACTCTGTCAAAGACATAAGGCTTGCCTTGCTAAAATGAGAAAAGGAGAGAGAAGAGAGAATAGGAGAGACACATATTAGAAGATAAGAAAATACAAGGGGTAAAACCATCAATGCTGATTCAGCAGAATCTAATCTTCTAATTTGTCCATTGAGAACAAATCTACCATAGGTGCCAACCTGAAAGACTCTACTTGAGTCTTTTACTCACTTTTGTGAGTCACTTTTATTCACATTCAAAATACACAAAATAGTTATCCCATCTGTTCATGAAAATCCATGCTTTTCTATTCCCAAATCTCATTCTCCTTTAAGGCAGGTATACCCGAGATGTATTCAAAGGCATGACTCCAAAGAGTGTATTTCTTTGTAGATGAGTACCCCTCCAGAGTAATGACAACTCTACCCTTTACCTCTCAATGCTCTGAATGACCATATCCCAACTCCCACACAAAACAAAAATAAAACAAAATAAAATTTATTCTTAATGTAGAGTGAATAGGGCAACTATCCAGGGCATGAAGTTTTTTTTTTAGGCCAAATGGAGAGTAACTACTCAGAAAAGCACTTTTTATAAAGAAAAAGAAAATATTTGAGGTGTCTAGCTGTAAAATCAGTCCATAAACCATGCCTCTTCTCCTCATCACCAAGGCAAAGCCAATATAATTACTCTTCTTTTCAACATACAATCCTACAAGCTGCCATTTTGTATTTTCTTTTTCCCATTCAAGGTTGCCCATATTTTTCACTTTAATCTGATTTTACCCCTATAAAATTACATGTTTATCTATTTGGAGGTGGGTTTAGGGGTGGGGGTGGGAAGTGGAAGAGAAGAAAACACTATGACTTATCCATCTCTTCAATCCTAGGAATGGTCCTGGGCTGAAAATTTCCCTGGAGACAACGCTATCTCTACATCAGGGCAACAGTTCAGAACAGAATTAAATGAGAGGGCATGTTAATTCTTGTAAACCACTTACTCAGGTGTCTAGCTCTATTAGTGTCATAACATTTTGAGTTTTATGATTCTGTCAGTGGCACAGAACTGCCAAGGAGTACCCAGCAAGTTTCTCACCATTGAATCATGTATTGACTCCACAAGACTCCATTCATTTAGCCAGTGTGACTGAGTTTTAGTTGTGAAAAAAATAAGCTGGGTCATGTCTGTGAGGTCCTTTCCAATATTTCATACATTAGTATTCCCAGTATTCCTAAAGAACTATAGATTCATGTCTCTGTGGAATGGTCAGGACCAAAGTCATGCCACTAAAAATGAGCAATATGACTTAAAATTTTATTGAGGGAAAGAACAATTTATCCTGTTCAAATGCCAATCAGCAGTAAAACTCCAATTTTTCTGCTCCCCTTTACTAGGATACTAAAAAAAATCCCTCAATATTAAAATATTGTAAAAAGATCATAAGCACTGTTTAACTCTTTTATTCCCTCATTACATCATATTGATTTTGTGAAATTAGGTTCTCTCTTCAAAAGGCATTATGTATATGCTATTCTCATAGCCAAGACTCAAGGTCAGTCTTCTAGTCTCCTACTTAAGAGTGTTTTTAGGGACTCTGGGAAGGTCCTACTCTGCCCCCTCCCATTGGCTGATGCCAGGAATTGCAACAGAGATTTAGGACTTTAGCTTAAGGCTTTGTTTCCTGTTTAAAACGCAGATATCTCTGGAGGAGACAGTACTTGAACTACTATCTCTAATTATAATTCAAGGTGGATTTTTTTTTCAGATCCTTGACTGACCAAAATTACTGCAGGTTAGGGAGCCATTGGTTATGTTGTGTTTTGCAGGAAAAATGGGGTTAGAATACAGAAAGGCATACATAACTGAGGTTCTAAGAAACTTTGCCTACTTCACAGTTATGTCTAGAACCAGCCCAGTTCACAACTCAGCTAAAAGTTTGATTTTCTGTGATTTGTACAACTAAATGAATAGTCTCAAGCAAAAATTTTAGCCTGGATCTGAGATTTCTTTAGTATAGGAATGCCTGGTGAAGAAACTTTCTTTAAGAATGCATATTAACAATGGTTTTTGCAGCACATAGTCTTAGAGAGTTTCCTGGAACAAAGAGAGCTAATCTGACTTGCCCCAGAGTGACCCAAACAGTGTATGTTAGTAGTGGGTCCTGAATCCAGGTGTTCTTGACTTGAAGGTGCTCTCTATCTGCTATACCACATTAACTTTCTCAGCCATAAATTATCTTAATTTATCAACATTCCATATTCTTACTGACTTCACCTATTTGCCAATTTAATAACAGTCAAATGAGGCAGGGGGTGGAGTGAACAAATAGGAATTTAACTATCCACTGAACACTTTGGAAAGAAACAGAAATGCAGCTTATGGCTCATTTAAAACAAATCCAACATGTTTACAAATCCAATTGTAATCACCAAGATAAATCATCTTGACCACAATGGTATTCTGGGTTGGTGGACAGGATCAGGGCAAAAATGCTAACCTAATGAATATTGTACACAGGAAGAAAAAGATGTTCCTATCAGGCTCCCTAATCTTTTTTCAGCATTTACATTAGTAAGAGAGTGGGGAAAGAAGAAAGGAAGTCCAAATATATTCCCTGTGCTTCAGTCAAATGGTAGGTACCATTTGTCAGGTGCCAAAGAAGTAATACGGCAATTTCCTATAACCTGTTATTAACTGCCAAAAAGGAAACTGCCTAAGAATCATTACAACTGCATATTGAAAAAAGACAGAAATTAGAAAATGAACACTTACAAAATCTATCTTGTCAGTACTAAACATTAACAGAATAACAATGGAGCCAAAAATTAAAACACCGTTGTTACATTTCCTTTCTTGTCTTGAATTGGTAAGTAGGGGTTCATTTTAAGTGAATGTGAAAGTCTTACTGACAGAATCCATTCAGGTATTTAATTTTGGTTTTGGAAGAACTGAGGGAAAGTGTAATATAAATGAGAGAAAGCTAGCCAGGAAGATCTGGATTCAAATTCAACCTTTGACACATTCTGTGTCATTATGTGTCACTTGACACATTCTGACTGTGTGACTCTGGGCAAGTCATTTAACATTTTAGTGCTCTTAGTAACTCTCTTTAAGATGGAGTTATAGAAACAGGGTCAAACTGTATTGGTAGAGTGAATTTCCTGACTTAGATGAACCAATGAAAACACAGATCTAATGCTGATTTCTTTTGAAGGGGGTGTGCTTGTTCAAGATCTAGTCAATAGCTGCCACAAATGACACTTCATTGGGGTAATATTATGAAAAACTTCATTGTCTAGATGCAGTCAGCTCCAAAGGATTCTCTCTCATCTTGAATATGATGGGTTTCCCCTTATCACAGATCCAGCTTGAAAGTTCACACTTTCCACAAATAATAAAAAGAAAGAAGTTAGTGAAGAAAAAAAAGAAAAGTGTGTCAGTCCTAGAAAATTCTGGGGTGGGAGGAAAGGGAAGTGTGACTGCTTCTTGAAGATAGTCGATCTTATGTAACTAAAAATAAAGGACAATGAATTTTCCCCAAGACAGCTAAATTCCATAAAAGAAAAGGAAGAAATGTTTCTATTTGCCAAGCAAAAATTAATGCTGTAGTCAGCATTCCTGAAATGTGCATCTGGATCAGATTTCTTCTATTGGTTACTGTTTATCTGAAGAAAAGCCAGCTCATCTTTTTTGATCAGCTCCTAGAAGCAAATGCTTTTATTTTCAGCACCAGCACCCACACATACTTTGAGGACAGCTCCACAGCAACATTGTTGCACGTTAGGTGGCACTAACTAGCATCTTTCAGGATTTTAAATCAGGTCAATGGTTTCTTTTCTTAAGGATTCCTGAAGTGATCCTGTCATCTAACAAGATGACATTTCATTGAGTAAGACTTCTTATTCTGATCTAGTACAGGAACAAAACAAAGTTGCTCAATATCTAATAGAGTTTATTTTAACCAACTTGATTGAAATATCAAATGTCTGACTTAAGTTTATTTTATTCCAACAAAAATAATTTTGTTGTTGTTGTTGTTTGATATAGGACCATAGGATATAGAGCTGGAAAGCATCATAGAAATTATCTATGACCAATCCCTTCATTTTACATCTTGATGCATATTCTTCGAAACTCAAAATTTGACGTAGATGTTATTTTTTAAGAAGTATGTTGAACATCTAGAATTAGAAGCTTTAAAATTTTTCTCAGATTTTGCATCTGTACTCAGAAAGCTATAGAATAACTTAGTTATTTCATTTACCCAAGTTAATTGAAGCAGACACCTGTATGTCACTAAAAGGAAAGTTAATGGGGGGGCATTTTTGGCATATCAGAAAGAATTAATTACCAAGAGTCATTTAAATGGCTTTGTTTAATTTTTTAAATGCTTATTTATCTTTTAAATCATACATGAAGCATATTAAGATTTCTGACATTATTTTTATAGAACTATGAAATATTTGAAGATACAAACAATTTTATTTTTGTCTTCAGATCCCAAGTGCCTAGTATGGTGTTTTACATACAGAAGGTACTTAAATATTTTTCTTAAACTGAAATGCTTGTTGAATGCTTACATTTAAAATTAGACCTTTCAATTTGACACAAGAAACTTAAGATAATTAAAAAGCTTCAACTTTATTCTTCCTGCTTATTCATAAAGGGGGCAAAGAAAGAGAAGCTTTCCTACTTTGTAAGGCTCCCATAAAACTCCTTGCTTTGGAATGTATTAATTAATTCAAATAAAAAAAATTCTTTCTTAAGCTGAAGAAGCGATTGCTGTCAAAGCTGGATTAGCACTAGTCTCTCAAAACTTCACACGCATTAAGTCATTAGTATAATTTTTTTTTAACTTTATGAGTAAACATGTGTTTCTTGAACGAGTCACTTTGGGTCTGGAAGTACATTAAAATGGATATTGTAGCGGATGGTTGTTAAATGACCGTTATAACCAACTCTTCTATACAGAAGATAAGAACTGACCCTAGTCCTGAATATTGATAATATTGGTAAGAAAATGAATTTGAGTTTTTTGTATACCTGTTGTA